ATTTATCGTTGTAAGAAAAAAATTAAGGAAGCGTAGAAGAAAGATAAGGAATATGTAAAACTATTGGATCAAATTCGATATAGAAGAAGGACTAAGTTATGACTAGATGGTCAAGGTATTGTATTTTGTGGCACAAGATTGCGGGTTCCAACCAGTAGAGAATTGAGGAAAGATATTCTGCATGAAGCCCATGTCTTTGAATTACTCTGGATATATGAGTAATCTTGGTACATAGTAGTAAGATGTACAATGACTTGAAGCCCATATTATGATAGCCTGGATTGTAGAATGATGTAGAAGAAATTATTTCTAAGTGTCAAAACTATGAAATGGTGAAAGCTAAAGATCAGAGTCCTAATGGTTTATTGCAGCCCTTATCTATTTCTAAATGAAAATGGAAAGAAATTACTGTGAATTTTGTTATGGGTTTTCCTAGGTCTAGATAAAAGTTATGATGTAATATGGGTTATTGTAGATAGAGTAAGTAAGTTTACTCATGTCTTTCTTATGAGGCATGCTAATTATGTTGACAAGCTAACTCTATTGTATGTGAGGGAGAATGTTAGATTACATGGGTTTATGAAAGTTATTATCTCAGATTACAATGGCAACTTTACCTTCAAGTTATGAAGGTGTATCCTGGAAGGTATATAGACTACGTTAAGTTTTAGTATAACTTTACAACCCTAAATAGATGGACAATTTGAGACAGTCACTCGTATATAAGAAGACTTGTTGAGATTATGGAAAATAGATTTTGGAGGATGGTGGAAAGGTCATATTCCTTTGATAAAATTTTCTTAATATAATTATTTCCAATCCGTTATCAGTATGACTTCATACGAAGCTCTGTATGAGATAAGATGTAGAACACTATTACCCTATATAAAAGTGGATAGTGCCATAGAGAAATCAAGTTGAACAAGAACATACTGGAAGCAATCCATGACAGACAAAAGAAGTTTTATGATCCAAAATATAGAGCTGTAGAATTTCAAATTGATGATTTAATTTTTTTAAGGCTAATCTATTAAAAGGTGTCAGCATATTTGTCAAAGATAATAAGTTAATTTCAAGGTATATTAATCCTTTTAAAATCATTAAAAAGGAGAGAAAGTTTGCTTATAGACTGTTATTGCCTGATCAGATGTTGGATATTCATAATGTGTTTCATGTATCTATACTGAAATAGTGGGTTTCCTATCTGGAATAATCGATCTCTAAAAATAAAATTGAAGTTTAACTTAATCTAACCGATAGGGAAGAGCCTGAGTGTGTTTTGCCCTATTATGTGAAGTAGTTAAGAAACAAGCAGATTCATATAGTAAAGGTGTAGTGGAAGAACATATCTAAAAGAGTAGCCCCTAGAAGAAAGAAGAGAAAATGAGGCAACCATATCCAAACTAATTTTGAGTATTTTTGTAAGTGCCAAAGACAATTTTTCTATAAGGAGGGACAATATAAAGCCTGCAGCTATAGAATCTCATAAAATCTATTTTTTGTGCCTTACATATCTTAAATTTGTTATTAAGAAACCTATAATTAAGGTGACAATGTCTAGAAATGAATTAATAAAATATGTCTTAGAATGTTGCGGTGTTGAGCATTGGAACGTAACGACACTTCCCTCTCTATTTAGGAGTAGAAATTATGGCAGTACAGTGGCGTTGTGCATGGTGGCACTATAGTACTACCCTTTCTTTGTTGGGGAAATGTTTTAGGGAGCACTATAGCGCCAAAGAGATTCTTACTTTACCACCTTCCAATAATCACGACCTCCTTCTCTTATCAACTCTACTATAATAGGCCCTTTCCTTTTTGTGAAACATCAGAGAAATTCTTCAAAGAGCTAAAAACAGGTTTTGGAGGTATGTTGTATTGTTCTACTCTAATTATTTCCACACTTACTATATACGGGTGTGTAAGGTGTTTAAATGGAGGCAGACGTGGAAGCGGAGTTATAAGAAAGCATCAGGATATGTGGATTGCTTATTCTCATAATTAGTTTGGATATGGTTTTAGAAAGCATCAGGATATTATGCATCAGGATATGTGGATTGCTTATTCTCATAATTAGTTTGGATATGGTTTTAGAAAGCATCAGAAAGGATCAGGATATGTGGATTTCTTATTCTCATAATTAGTTTGGATATGGTTTTAGAAAGCATCAGGATATGTGGATTGCTTATTCTCATAATTAGTTTGGAAATGTTTTAGAAAGCATCAGAAAGCATCAGGATATTATGCATTGCTTATTCTCATAATTTAATGAATTAATTATAAGTAATATTCTAAATTTAGTATTAGTAATTTTTGAATTTTTGTATGAACCCTGATGAAATATGAAAGTTAAGTGCAAGTGAACCTTTGATGGAAAGTGTTATATGATGTATCTAAAATCTCTATGAAAATTTCTTCAAGGATATAAGTATAAGCTTGTAAATCAAGTACATAATAAAACTCTAAAGAATAATACTATGTTAGTACTTTATTCATTCTTTACATGTTAATGAGTTTTAATTAAATTGATATTTAATACTTCAAATGGACATTGATATATATGATGGGCCAAGGAAAGAAGTTAATTGAGCTGGTGATGCATTCAACTCTTGATGATCATGTTTTTTTTAATTTTATGTTATTGTAATTTTTGAGTTTTATTTTTGTTTACCTAATGATGGAAGGCAACCGATGATCATGTGTGGCTTAGGTGCTCATTGGACATATTTTTTTCCTTTGGTGTGCTAGCCTCTTTGGGTTCTTTGTGTTTAGGTTGACTTGGGTTTGTTGGGGGTGGCTAAATTATTGTTTGCTTATCCTGGTAGTTTGGTTCCTGTTCCCCTGGCTTGGTTATTCACTTCCTGCTGCTGCTCCATGGCTTTCCCGGTTCCCCTGGCATTGGCTATTCGGTTCCTACTACTACTCCCTGGCTTTTCCGGTTCTCCTGGCCTTGGCTCTTCGGTTTCTGTTGATGCTCCCTGGCTTTTTTGGTTCCCATGGTCTTGGCTGTTCTATTCCTATTGCTATCCCTTGGCTTTCATGATTTTTTTTTTGGGTTCTTCCGTGCATTTAATGCTTTCTTTTTCCTTTCCTTTTAGTTGGCTGTAGGGGGCGGCTGTGGCTAGATGTTGGCCTCCTTTCTTTCCTATTTTTAGGGGAGTTTTGAGCTGTTGCAAGCATTTTTTTGGAAGTGAAAATATTCTAAAACTTGAGGGTTTCTTCTCTAGCTAGAGAGCTACTTTTTCCCTACTTGTTTCTTTTTCCAAGTCTTCTAATCCTTTTCTTCTCTCCACAAGTTTCCATCCCATTGTATCCTTCTTCTAAAATAAAGAGTGGTGTTGGTTGGTCAGGTTTTAGTGGTATTTGTTGGAGGAGTTATGGAGGACATTGGATCAAAGTTGTTGTGGTGGACTACTGGTTTGCATGTCCTTGAGCATTATATTTACCTAATTTATCGTTACATGTGAGGTGACCACTAGCTGGTTGTTCTGAGGGTATTTTATTTTGGTTTTCTTTCTTCTTATAAAACAATTTCAATTTGTTTAATGTTATTTGGTGATTTGCTTACTAAAGTTTTGGATCGATTCGTGTTCTACTTTCTTTTGTGTTCTCCATTAGGCTTTAAACTTTCTAGTTCCCATCAGCTGGCAATGCTAATTCTATGAATTTTCTATCATTTCATGGAATGAAAAAGACCTAGTGGAGTAGAATGGTGTAGAGGCAGGTTCTTTAGGATCTGAGTAATTGAGATGAGCTGGATTATTATACATATACTTTTTGATGAAGTAAAATATTATTGTACTGAAGTTATTTTTTTTTGGTTTTGTAATAGCTTTGGTTGTCTCTATTGGTGGTTTAGCTAAAAATATAGATTATGATTTCAATCTTTCCATTAGATCCTAGAACATAACATAGGCCTTATTTTAAATCCCTAATATACATACTTAACAAAAAAAAAAAGAGAGAATATGACTTAGAGTCAAAGAGAGAGTTCTGGCCAAGGAGAGACCACAGATTAATGGAGAAAGATCTTGACATCTTCATGCAATAGTTTGAGAGAGGGCAGGAGAGATTGGAGAGAAAGTAAGGGATTCAAGGAAGGATGTCTAAGAGATCAATGTGTGAGAGAAGTGTACAGTGTTGTTCATCTTTATCTATATCCTTAAGGCATATTTCACTCTAAGTGTGATAAATTTATTTTTGAAACCAATAGGAATCAATTTAATTTTGGTGCTCTAAAAGTCTTTGGCCAATAAATCCACAATCCCCCAGCCCCAACTTGTGTGTCACAAACACTTTCACTTACTATGAAAATGAAAGGCATATCCCATAGTGGCTCCGATATTGACGGACTATGGGAGTACTAGACTAGATTCAAAAGTGAGCTATATGGTTATAATCTTTTCATGACATCTTGAAAATTTGTTTTTGTTGTGCCTTAAGGATAGTAATGGATGGTTTGTTATTACCAACAAACACATTCTATAGACCCACAAGAATCAATGAAAGGAAGGATATATCTTGAACATGGATTCGTAGTTCCCATAAAAAACATAAATTTTGTGACACCTACAACTTGCCCTAATCAACACACCAAGAGATAAATATGGACTATCCCATCTTTCCTATGTTACATTGGTTGTGCTCTAGCACTCTTTGAAAGTTCCATGTGTCATAACAGGCCTATCCATTGTTTGCAATGCCAATTTATAAATTAAAAGAGAGGCAATCACCTCTCCCTTTCATTTAGGCTATCCTTCATACAAATTTGGACTAGCTTGAATTCATAATGATAGAACCAACTATGCCTTACAAGTTATCCAACAAAGGGTAGTGATGCAGATCTAATATACATCAATCATCGGTTTAATTCACATGATTTCTATGGATAATGGTGCATCTTTTATATCCTCACAATGGTAGATTAATCTTTGGCACCTCCCATTTGCTTCTCAAATGTGACTGTTATTCTCATATGATCATGCAATTCATTAGGAAATCATATACAACTTTGATAAAGTGTAAACTAGTTTATGTAATGTCAATATGGATATATCCAAATACATATCATTTTCAACACTAATATGTACATAAAAGATAAATTTACATAAGTAAATAAACAGAATGAATCCAAATAAACTTGACCCTATATTAAATATAAGTTGTCATCACACAAGGTGCTTTCAAATCTTGAATCAGCGTCGCCAATTTCTATAACTTCCAAGCTGAATACTTCATCTGTATTTCTTCTCTTTTATAGGACCTCGTGGAATTTTGTTGAGAACATTGGTATCAAATCTATGAAAGAGTCTTTTAAGATCGCGGCTTCCCATGAATGCCAAATGATCCACTTCTCTCTCATAACGCTCATATAGAGCGGGCAAAATCTGAACGCAGAGATAACCTATAGAAGTAGAGGTGGCTATTTTAGTATATATTCCTTTGAACTTGGCATAATTCATGCTCAAATTAGAAGATTATGGAAGAATAGCATTACCTAAGTATAACAAGTTTAGGGAGCTGAAGAAGCTTCCTACCACTGATAATATCCAAAGAGAAGCAATTACCTTGAATGAAGAATAGGAAATAGCAATGAAAAATTATCCTTGAAAAAGAAATAATTCAAAGTGGCAGTAATGTATATAAGTATACCAGAAGGAAAAGTCTAAGATCCCTCCCCGTTGCCACATTTTGGAAAATGACCAAGAAGCGGCTCAGCCTGGCATGTAAGTAGATTGCAAACTCTCTAAAGGTTCTCTCTGATAAGATGATTTCAGGAATCTTTGGTGGGCTCCTACAAGAATAAATTATCAAGCAAAAGCCAACTGAGAATGATGAGTTGAGATATGAAGTTTTGATTTTGATTTAGATCTGTGTTGCTGGAAACTTAGATTTCTCTCGAGCTAAGAAAGTTTGGAATCATATTCTTGGATGATAGATCTTTAGTGGCAAACACGAATAGGAAAAGATTGATTTTAATTGCACAAAATTAAAATAGACTAATGGGTGATTGTCATTTTTTGTTTGGATAAAGACTGTTCAGCCAAAAACTGCTATTAAATTGTACTATAGAATCTTGACCAAACCACTAAAGGCAGATTTGGTTGCTCTTAAATAGAAAAAAATAAATCTTGGCCAAAGCATTAAAGGGTCAGTTAGTTGCTTGTACATATGAAGTATATTTCAAAAAGAAAACTATGTTCTCATTCATTATGTGTGAAATTAAAATCATGACAGTAGAGTGAGTAGAACTAAGAGGATTTATGGAGCTTAAAGTCAAAGTTGATTTTTAATTAAACTCAATTAAATGTAGATCTAATCAATTTTATTATTTCTAAAAGTAAGGTGCCTAAATCTAAAGTAGCTCAATCCTTGTTTTTTTTTTTTTTTTTTGTAATTTTAAAAGAATAGGAACGGTATACTTGCTATATTCATTGTTAGAAGTAAAAAAATATTTTGATTCTACAAAATACTTGTAAATTATTATATAGAAACAAAAATTCTTAAGAACCCGGTTTATATAAAAAATAGAAGAGAATGTTTTGTACCAAAAGAGTGCACTAAAAATTACCATTTTTCTAATTAAAATTCAAATGTCTTATAGTTTATACAAAATGTCTTGTTTTTCTTGAGTAAATATTTTATACTCCAAACAAAATTTCATGTTATTTTGAATAAAATTACATAAGCCTGATTCAAGTTTGTAAGGCGTACTCCTGATGCAATTTTTTTAATATTTTATCCTACCATCTCCTTCCATTTCTGTTTAGTATTTGGAAAATATGTAATCCATTATTTTACATTGTAGAAGATATTTTACGCCTTGTTTCTTCTAACAGAGAATATTGTTTTGGTGAACATAAGAGTCAGATATCCAATGATGATATTCAAAACAGAGCTTCTTCACACTATGCGTTCCATAATGCAGTGTTCTTGATTTGCTTCTTATACGTAGGTTATTTTCTTTCATGTATTTATCATAGTGTTTACTCTTCCATTATAGTGCATGTTCTCTAATGTATCTGGGATTGTTCTAGCAAGAAAAACTATTTCTAAAAATGACTTGACAAGTGCTGAATAAGACTTATGGCTGCAACCCATAATGAAATATTTTGAACTTGTTGAAAAAAAAGTTCTAAAATTGCACAAGGTGTAAGAAGAAGAATAGTATCAAGATTAATTCATTTGTTGAATAGCTAATAGAAAAAATACCGATCAAGCAGGGCTGCGCCATTAGACCAGATAAAAATCAAAAGCATCGCAGCGATGAAGAATTGGCAGAGGAGAGTAAGAAAATGATACTCCACAACCTCAAATAGAAACCACGTCACGGTCACTCCAGCAAGAATGACCCCTGATAAATGCTTGTTTCTCCATAGCACAATATCAGCAACTACAAAAACACGCCAAAAATCATATCCATGTAAATTAGAAAGAATTTTTCTTTATCGACAGAAGCTGGATAAGTGTTCTATATTGCAAAAATGAGTAACGTTTAAAGCAAAACAAGTTCATTTATCATTTAAATGATCCAAATATTTCATTATGATGAAATCAACGATGAATGAAATATTTCTAGAGTTTTCTAGTTTACAGAATTAAGCATAACAGAGTCAAAGTTAATTTCAAAGCAGATATTAACTAAGTAGTAAAAGATGTAGATTGATAGGGTCTTCCAGAATTGTGCTTTTAGGCCAACTTAATATAGAGTTCAGATAATCACAAAAGCTAGAGTTCTACCGTTTGGTTCAATAACTTACCTGTCCACAAATAATATATAGTCAGAGTTGTATTTTGTTTATTTCTGCATCCGATTGTTTTGTTTAATTTGGTGCGAGAAAATTATATAAAGGGGGATTTATATACATACTATTTTATTTCATGCTATTTACATATCTAACATCTAAAACTTTAATATTACATGTCTACCGCCCATAGAATAAATATAGGTGCATTGAATGAAATATTAAAATTTATAGGGTGGTATGAGTGGTAAGAATGAAATATAAGAGTAATATATTTGATATTAAAATTTTATATGAGTGGTAAAAATTTTATATTAAACTTTATCACTAAACTCATAAAGTTTCTTTTCAAATGAAACTGGGTATATGAAGTGAAGGATACAAGATTTTTGTACTAGGAGTGGTGGATTGAAAAACATGGTCATTTCCACTAGATTCTCCTTTAATTTATATATTGTGGGGCAAAGGCTTGATGTTGTTGTTGTTGTTGTAAAGTTGTATTGTCTGAAAATATATATTAAAATTTTTAAAAAAATTGTAGCACAAAAATATAATTTTTTAAAAAATATGAGGTATGATTGTTCTTTGGACATCAACATGAACATCCTCACTGGGCTGTGAACAAAGTAAAATCTCTTTAATTATAATTTGATTATTTTTACGTAATCAAGTCAATTAGAGTGAAACTTATTGAATTTTTTTTTCCTTGAATTCTTTAAATCAGCTCAAATTAATCATAGAGGTTCCACTCATTTTTTTTAGAAAACTAATTTATATAGCTTCTCCTCTTCATATAAAGGTTTTTATTATATTTTTTTATTTTTATTTCTTCATATAAAGGTATGAATACTCCTTTATAGGGGAAAGAAATGCATTTCTCCTTTATTATAGTCTCCAATTCTTTCTCTTATGAAAGGATTTCCATTATCATATGTAAGCAGTGCATAAGAATAACTCTTCCTTTACTATCTCTGGTAACATATTATCTTTGATAGGCTATGTATGTCTCTCTAACATGCTTGGGTGCTTTTCTACTAAGAGTAATAAATTATCCTTTGAAATTGTGAGAAAATTTTAGATCTTTCAATGTCTTTCTTGGTAAGTTTTTGTTCCTACCTTGTAAAAGAGGATCGACGTCATCGTGTATAGAAGATATATAATCCCCTCTTTGCAGGCTTCAGTAAAATATTGTCATGGATAGGTTGTGCATATTCATCTTATATGCTCATGTATTTTCTCTATTAGGATTATCAGATCACCCAATAGGTAAAACTGTGAATGACATCCAAGATTTTTAATCACTATGGTACAACTCCGGGTTTTCCTCATGAAGGAAGGTTTCACTATCTCTATTTGGAGGGATTGGAATTTGGAAATATTTTTATGCCATTTCAATGTTCCAATTTTGTCTCCAATGGGGAGATAATTACTGTAAAATTTTGATGGAGAATATTTTTATGCTATTGCTAGGTCCCAAGTTTTGGATAAGAAAAGTGGAGGGTTGCTTAAGATAGTCGACAACCATTTGAAGTATCTTGGTCTCCCTCTTTATAAGGGTAGGAAAAAATCGTTTCTTTTTTATGATTTAATCTCGATTGTGCATTACAAGCTTTTATCTTGGGATTCTAACTTTTTTAATTTGGTGGTAGATTAACCCTTATTAAAAGTGTTCTTTGCTCTATCCCTTTTTATACTTTTCAAACTTTACTTCTTACTCAACCTGTGTTATAGGCTTGAGAAAATCATTAATAAATTCTTCTGGAAAGGGACTAGTAATAGTTCTAAAATGCACTGGTTGGCTTGAAATAAATGTTGTGGTACTTTGGATGAAGGGGCTCTGGGCTGTAAGTCTTTCAAGGATTTGGCTCTGTCTTTCTCTTTTAAGTTGTGGTATAATTTTAGAGCTAATGTGAGCCTTTGGGTAAATTTATGAATGTGAAGTTTTGTGGGGAGAAACACCCCACCATTTGCTGTTTTAGTAAAGATAACTCTAAAGTTTGGCAGTGTCTTTGCAAAGTTAAATGGGAGATTGAGCCGATTATCTATTGGGGTCTTGGTAGTGGTAATATTTTCTTTTGACATGATCGTTGGTTGAATGGTAAGTCCATTGATTCTATGCTTAATACTTCTTCCAATGCTTGTATGAAGGTTAATTATTTTTTCAAGGATAATGGTTGGGATTTGGATAAACTTTCTTCTGTTTTGTCTAGTTTTATTGTTCAACAAATTCTTCAGCCCACTTAATATGAATACTCTTGATATTCATATGTGTTCTTTAAATAGAGAAGGTAAATTTTATTTAAAAGATGTATGGCAATCCTTTAGAACTACAAAAGAAGCTTCTATTATTTTCAAAATGTTATGGCATCAAAGTATTCTTTCTACGGTTTCTATTTTTGTTTGGAGACTTTTACATAATTTCATTCCTATGAATGATTATTTGAAGAAACGTAGTTTCATCCTTCCTTCTAAATGCCAATGTTGTTATCACTTGGAGAACATGCATCATGTTTTTGTCTCGGAGCCTTGTGCAGTTAAAGCCTGGACTCATTTTGAGGATATTTTACAATTAAACTACTTTAATGCTAAGTTTTCCATTTATACTTTATTGAAGTGTTGGTTTGTTAATTCCAAAGGGAATATCAGGAATGTTATTTCTTCTCTTATCCTTTGGTACTTATGGTTGGAGAGGAATAATTCCCGCTATAATGGTGAGGTTATGAATCCTCATCGGATTATCCAAAGGGTGAAAGATAAGATTAGAGATCTTTTTTCTGCTAAGCTTATTAATACTAAGAACTTCAATAAGTATCATAGTGCTGCTTTTGATTTTAGTATTAATCTAGATGTGGATAACAGTCACAAGATTTTGAAAAGTATTCGTTGGCTTACTCCTTCGGATAATTTTTTAAAGTTAAATGTTGATGGTTCATTCAACAATTATAAGGTTGGCTGTGGTGGTCTCATCAAGGATTCTAATGGTAATTTTATTCTTGGTTTTGTGGGTCCTATTTACAATGGTGATATTACTATTGCAACTACTTTTGTTATCATCTATGGTTTAAGGTTGTGTTTATCTCTTGATTACATTAATATTATGGTGGAAGTTTCTTCTTCTTCTTCTTATTGTATCCAGTCCTCTATTTTAAGGAATGATAATTTATGCTCTTCGAATTTGTTTTACATGAGGAGGGATATTCAATTGTTGATGAGTAGGCTTAATTTTTTTCTTTTTGGCTATTGAAGGAAATGGTAATGCTTGTGCTAAAGCTTTGGCTAGTTGTGGTTGGGCACTGGAATCTATACAGGATTTTTATTTATCTAACTTGCCTATTCCAGTTAGGGGCCTGGTTTACTTGGATAAACAGTCTATTCCTTATGTTAATTCTTAAGGTTGTGGATGATTTTTTTGGGTGCTGGGTACTTCTGGCTAGAGCCTTTCCTTTCTATTTCTCTGATTGAATTTTTGGAGTCTTTTTGCTTGGTTCAGTGTGCCCGGGTGGTTATGCATGTTTAAGTTTCATTTTGATGATGAGCATGTGTTGTAGGACACCGTTATTCTGTGTGGGCTCTGTTTTATCTGGAGGGTCTGCTGAGCTCTTTCTCTTGGATGTTTAAGTATCTCTATGTGATAGATGAGGGTGCTGTGCAGTTGAAACCCATTTTTTTGGTGGGGTTTTTCTATTTGCTGGCATTTCACGGGATGCTAGATTCCGTGAGGATGGTTTTACCTGGTAACTCCTCCTGTTGCTTAGACCTGCTGTATTTTTTTGGCTGTCTGTTATGTTGTTACAGATGGTTGGATTTTATTCTATGGTTATTGTCTACCTTTCATGAGAATTTTGCTACCTTATATTGCAGGCTGGGTTTGCTTATTTGGTTCCTGGAACCCAGGAATTCTTCTCGGCATGATCTTTTTACTAGTTATAATTGGTTTAACATTTGTGAGACTATTAGACAATATGATTTTTGGAAGGTTTGTATTAATCCTGGTGGTATTTGTGATATTCATTGCTGTGAGAACTGATATTTTTGCTATTTTTACTGCCTTTTATGTGTTTTTGTCTATTACTTTGTTTTGGCAAGCTTTTTCCTTGCAGGTGATCGTGTTATAGAACGAAGCTGGTGGCTTGAGGATCTAGATAATCTTTTTTGTACCTTTATGATTTTTTGGGTGCTCGTCCTTGTGCACCGTAGAATGTACCTAAGATTTTGTGTACTTTTGCTTATTAGGGAATTCGAGCTCATAAGCTTTTTTTGTCCTTTTATTTTTGTAGCTCTTCGGAGCAGTAGAGAGCTTGAATTCCCTTTAAGGACCTTGTAATCCTTGTTTTATATTAACGCGTAGGCCCCTTCATGAGTTTCCCCTAATTTATATATATATATATATATATATATAATTCTTCCTACCTTGCAATTTGGAAGATGGGAATATGCACAATTGAGTATAATTATTTGATTCCCATTATAAAAATTACAAAAACAAGATCTCCACAAGCAAAAAGTTAAAATCTAATAATAGGGTTAGATGTTAATAGTCAAGGGATAGTGGTTTGACGAAAAAAGTCTGACAATTGTGGCGGCAATTACTGATGGTTGTCAACAATAGTAATTGCTGAAAAATGCAATAGATTTCTTAGCTCTCTCAGCTCGTGAACGTCCCCTCCTATGGAAAATGATGACTTATTTATAGCCTTTTTAAAAACAAATTCTTAAACTTTTTTATCAGAATCCAAAATCCTCAATCAGATGGTCCATATTGATCCCTTTAATCATAGATCATTTATCTTATTTTGGTGTCTTGATGATATGAAAATCAAATAAATTTGTGCTCTTTGAGTTTGTCTCGTTGAGCTATTTGATTTAACTCTATGCATGTAATATTTTGTGATCATTTGGTCCTTCAATTAATGCTTGAAAGTTTATAAATATGTTTTAAGTGCTTGATTTGAGCTCATTTTTAGTCAAATTGGATCACTTGTGGCGTCAAGACATTCAGTTCAACATTAAGTTTATTGAAATTTATAGATGGGATGGTCCTAAATATAATTCTAATAGCTTTCAATCAAATTTTGCCTCAAGATTTATTCTGACTGAGAGAATTTTTTGAGACAATTTAGATTTCCAAAGAACTCCAAAGTGATCATATTACACATCTAAGCACATCCTTTCCCAACCTACAGCTAATATCATTGTTTATGACTCATAGTTGATACATACAATTGATACAACCAGTGCTCTATCAATTGATATCAAAACTCAGGCTCCATATTCGATATAATAATTCAAAGTTTAAAATCCAATTATGTCAAACATGGTAAATTTTACTTACGGTGATTGAATTGGCTTACCTCTACTAGTTTATAGAGTTGATTTTGATATCTAAAATCTTTAAGAGGTATAAATTTAAATCTATGATTTATTATTTTGAAAGATGGCATATCTTCCATCAATGTTTTTAATCCTATAAAAAAATTATTTATGCATTTCATATTTTCAATAAGCATTATTATCATATGATTTTCAACACCATTAAAATTAAAACCAAATAAATTCATTCTATGTACTCTCACCTTGGTGTATAGTGTTCATGTTAAGACATGTGGAGGAAAATATTTTTAAGGTGAATCGACGCAAAGAATGAAGAAATCCTTAGAAAAATAGTGCAAAGGAGAAAAAATGATCCATTAAAGAACCTTGTGGTAATAGACCACGAAGTTGTCAATAAAAAGAAAGAAAAGAAAAGGGCAACCCCAACATCTTCTATGAGCACACAATATGTCTTCAATGAATGCTAGGTAAATGAACTTTCATAAATCATCAAAAGCTTTTTGTCTGGGTTATTGTTTAAATTGTATATATTTAACATTCTGATACATCATAATTAAACCTATATTATATATATCCAAATTAAGTAAATCTATATTTATAACATATTCTTCAATAAAATTTATTCCCATTGTTTTCCTAATTCAATCATTTCATAATTAATCTTTCATCATAGTTTTTTTTATAAATTAACTTTATTTCTACTTCAATTGACATGGATATCATTGGCCCATAATACTAAGAACCACATAATATAACCAACTAAATTATAATCTTAAATTTATTCTTGAGCCTCGATGATACTTTTTTAATGCGTAGTACTCATAATAACTCATAATATATATCAGCATTTATGTCCTAATTCTATCATTTTTTTGACATTTAGGCTAATTAAGGTAAACTCACACACATCACATATCGGAACCCAAAGTTGATACCTCTTGGCTGATAGCCAAAGCTCCAAACCAACAAATCAAGCAGGGATGCATTTCATTCTATCATGTAATAAAGCTAAAATACTTGAAAGGTATTACTATTTTCATCTAACTATATATATAAAATTAAATGGATCTAGAATTAATCCATGAACAGAACCTTTTCCTCCGCCGAATAGCTGGTGAATGGTCCTTCGCCGTCCAAAGAGCTTGGCCGCCGGCTGCCGCTCGTCATAGTCATAGCCAGCGGAGATAAATCGCGGCGGCATTTTTGTTCGCTCTTCTACTCGATGGCGTCGATCGATGGGCTACTGAGGGGGGATATGTGACATGCCGGCCTAGCTTGCTTTTATGAGGGGCGATTTGCTTCTATTCTTCGAGTTGGAGGTGAAGGAAAGGATTGCTTTGCCCCCTGCCTTGTTCACTCTCCTATTTGCTTGTTCTGACGGGGATTAGCTGCGGGCTTACTTCATAGTTGGTGTTCGTTACTGTTAAAATAAGGTTTTGAAAAACGGCCGAGAAGGTCTCCAAACAGGTTTCGCAAAGAACCGAGCCTCGGGCCGTTCGAACCGGAAGTTCGACCCCCAAACCGCCAAACTAGTACCTACTCTGAAACTCGGCAGTTTATTTAAAAGACGATTTCAGCCATTGATATTAAATCGGATGGCTTAAAATAAAATAAAGTAAAACCTTATAGTCTTATACGAAAAAAAATCTACTGTTATTTTCTTCGGCTCTTCTATGTCGGACGTAACTTCCCTCTGACTTTCCAATCGTTCTCTTTAGTGAAGCTTACAAGGAACCTAAGCATCCGTCTCATGCTCAACTCCTCTCCGACCTTTTCTACTCGCACTCTAGTTTTCCTCGCATTCACTACTTGCCCATTTCGTATTCTTTGATTCTTTCATTTATTATTTTTTTGTTGTTGAGTTTCCTTCATGTTTTCTTAACAATATTCAGTAAAATGGTTGATGCAAATAAGGATAGGTGAGAAATATATTCTGGCAACGTGTAGGATCTTAGACTTTGTCAAAACTTTGTCTGTGCACCTTGTAGTTTTTTTTTTTTTTGAAATTGTTGGAATAGTGAAGGGGTACTTTTGAAGTACTCATTACATTTTGACTACCCATTTTAACTTTTTTGTTCTCGACTTTCATGACTAACAGGTGGCGAAGCCACGAAGGCTCCTCCATTTGCTGCTTTGCATGGGAAAATATGCCGAGATCATTTTGCCTTGCCTAGAAAGCCTTAGCTAATTTAGTGCGAGCACTTTAATGTCAAATGGATTCATTGCAATTGGTTTCTTTTACTTATCTTCATTAAAAAAATTTCAGTTGATACTCCATAACTTTTTGGGCTGAGAATGTAGTGAATTGAAGTTTAATTGCTTTTCAAAAATTTTTTATTAAACTAGTTAGATATTTAAAAAACTGTATTAGTTTGAATTGAAGTTTAATATTTTTAAAGATATTTAAAAAATTTCAGTCAATCCCTTTCGGACTCATTTTAACGTTGAATTCAAATTGATGTTCCTTAAATTTAATAGAATGAGTGACTAAATATTTTGTGGTGATTGTTTCATACTTTCATCTACTTGCAATTTTTAATTAACATATTGTTGGATTCGATTGTAATGAAACTATTTCATTCTGCCTTAATTGATTATGTAACATACATTACATGTAACTGCTGCTATTATTTTAATTAACTTTTGATATTATTTGTTGATTGAATTAAGATATGTGCATGTGATATTATTTTGTTAATCAAATTAGAGTGGAATCAGGAAGTAATCAAACTTCAACTTCTAGTTATAGTGTGCATGAGAAAGTGGACATTGCTTGGATTTATTTCGCTGAAGTTAGAGGAGTTTATGGGAAGAAGTGATTCAAATGTTTGTATGTCTGTATTGTGGTATTGCATACAAGAGAGGAGGAATAAATAGAATGAAAAAAATATTTAGCAGGAGTAAAGAGGAATAAAACTGCTTGCAAAAAGGCTCCACACAATGTTTGATATCAAATGCAAAAAAAAAAACCTTAAAGGAAATTTCAAGAAAAAAGAAACAAGCATATGAGGAGATGGATAATACATCGTTTCTTATGGATGATTCTTCTTCTCTTCCTAAAACATAATCTTCTAAAGCACATGTATTAGAATTTGCTAAATGAAAAAAGAAAAATTCTAATGTGGACACTGTCTTTAATCCTCGAACTAGACCAGGTTTCTAATCTTCAATTAAGAGTACTTTAGCAACTAAGGAAGTAGTTCACCGTGCAAATATGACTTTAACAAGATGGTTTTTCAATTGTTTCACCCCATTTAATACTTTAACTAAAATATATGAATAGAAAATTGTAGAAGACCTTGATGTTATAGGTCTCAGTTACAAGCTCCTCACTTATCATAAAATGAGAGTAAACCTACTTAGAATTATAAAGAGAAGTGTAGGTTACTTATTCATAACTACATACATACTTGAAAGGAAACATGTTGTACTCTTATGACAGATGGATGGGATGATAGTAAGAGCAAAACATTAATCATTTTTTTTCCTTTCAGTGTTGTGTATCTTTTTTGAAATTAGTTGATTCTTCATACATCAGTAAGGATGCTGCAAAATTGTTTTCTTTATTCATTGTGGTTTTTGAGTGGGTACGTCCAGAGAATGTAGTTCAGCTAGTTATTGATAATACTATTAATTACTATAAAGGAGGTCATATGTTACATGAAAGATTCAACATTTATTGGTCACCTTGTGATGCACATCATATGAACTTAATTTTGAAAAATATTGACAATATGCCTCTCATAGAGGATCTAGCAAGGAAAGCATCAAAGGTGATATTTTTTTATTATAATCATATCTTTATACTTGCATGGCTTAGGAAAATGCCAAGTTGGAAGGAGATCGTACATCCAGGAACTACATGTTTTGCAGCGAACTTCATAACTTTGAAAAGTGTACATGAGGACCACCATGACCTAGAAGCATTAAGCATAAGCAAGTTTTATACATATTCAAATATATCCACAACCTCCAAGGAAAAGAGGTAGCTTCATTATTTTGGAATTGATGTTTTGGGATAATTGTCTTATTATTTCAAAGATTTGGGACCCTTTAATTCAATAGTTGTGTATTATTAACTCAGATGAGAAACCATCATTTGGATATCTATACATGGCACCTAAGACAATCAAAGCTATGTTATGAAATATAAAGATATTATGTAATCATTTCACCATTATAATAAAAAGATCATGAGATACCCAATTAAGACAAGGCATCCATGCAACAACATATTTTATCAACCCTCATTTTCCAGTATGATAAAGAGAAATATTATTAAAAGCCAAAAAATTTATTTAGACTTGTTTAATTTATTAGAAATAAAGATATTTGTTTTAATCCAACAATGAATGAGATCAGATTATTCCATGATGGATTATAAAGCTTTGGAAAACCAATTGCATTAACGATGACAAAATAAATGCAACTTGATAATTCTCTTTTAATGTCAACATGTAGTTATATACTTATATTTTTATTTGAATTTATCATTTAAATAAAATAAATAAAATAATTTCTTATTTTATATTTCTTATTTGTTGGTGAAGGTGATTTAGGGAATGAAGGAGATGGAGATGATATAATTGAGTTCGATTAATTAGATGCATTTGGTTTTGAATATTTTAGTGAAGCAGGACCTAGTGACTCAACTTATGTGGATATATTTGATGATATAAATTTAGGAGATTTTTATTTTTCTCTTATGAAACTATTAAAACTATTGAACTGAGAAATTGAAACATATTTAACTTCATTTCTATATCATGAATATATTTTCTTTTTATAATCAATTAGTACAAGTGTTAAAATCTTTCTATAATTAGTTGTGTCTTCAAGTGAAATATATTAATGTGTTTTGCTTATTTACTTTATGTTTAATTATTAGGTTACAATTATAATAATTTTCTAATATTTATTTTATTTTGAGAAAATCACCAATTCTAGGTATAAATTAGAATATCCAAAAATAATAATTTTTGATTTCATCTCTCAAGTTATGACTACAGAGAGTTCAATTACTCAAAATAATAATGTATTTAATTTAAAATTTACTAAATTTATTTGTTAATTTTTTTTATATTTCATATTATTATTCAATTCAAATTTTTTTATATATTTACAAATGGTTATGTCATTAAAATATTTAAATAAAATAAGTATTTATATTATCATTTGGATCGACCCCGGTCAAACCATCGAACCACTAAACCCTCCTTCCAGTTCATTGTTTAGTCCAATTATGTTGGTTAAAATTGTTGAATTAGAGGGGATTTTTTAGAGATATCAGCAAACATTAGTTATATATATTTATATATAAAACTTCATCATAATGAGACATAAGTATGTACCAAAATATTACTGCCAAGTTTATATAACTTTGTTGAAAAGGATACAAGTTAAATTCATCGGCAAGCTCAAGTCAGCCAAAGTCATCAAACAAGCATACCCAACATAAGGGCTGCCAGGAAAAAGCTTCAATACTCACCAAGGATATTCAATAAACCCATCAAGAAAACTTCTCCAAGATTCAAATCTACAAGAGTAAACCTCTTGTAATCGATAATTGACTTCATATGAATTCATCATTTACTTGATATCAATATTTTAAGTATATATAATTTGATAGGTCATCAAAAAATTTCCTTAAGCAGGCATAAATCTCAACATATTTGAGTTAAAAATTTTCTAAATCAACTTTATGATTATCTAAACTCCGATTTCAACAATCCTACAATCAAGTTGAATGTCTCGATATGAAAAACCAAATGATGCCAAAGTGATCCAATCTGAGCTTGAATAAACCAAATCAATGGCCTGGAGCATAGTTAAGCTTTAGAATATTGGTTAGATGATCAAATGATCTCCAAATTTACATGCTTATAATCAAATTGAGCATCTCGATGAGATGAATCCAACTAAGATTATTTAATTTCGGTAATATTAAGACATGTAAATGTTGAACGAATATTTTATGATCAAGGAAATCAATATGAGCAATTTGATAGAATGTTTCAGATTTTCTCCATGTTTATGAGGCATGCATTTTCAAAAATCTACCCCGCTAAATCAAAACACGATATGCAAGAAAGAAACATAGAAAAGTAAGCTACTTCTACTACTCAAATAATATAAATTATTGATCAATTAATTAAATGAATTAAATATCTATGTGGCAAATGCCACTGAATTTATAACCTAGGTCTGTAGAAATTAAAAGTTGCTGGGTACCACTAATAATAACTTAGATTCTAATCCTAGGAATGACTCGAGTGACTTTAAAATTAGAATATTTCATGTCTTCAATTAATCATCTTCTTTCCTTTTGCGAGCTCCTTGCATTCATCAATTTTGGATATCCAAATTAAAAGAAACTCCTCTCTAGAGGGGTGTTTTCTTCTCTTTGGATTTTCAAAACATCCAAACCTAAATCTCCAAATGAAGAGGAACTCTACCTTAAGGGATGTTACCCTT